CAACGCTGTAGCTGCCGAGGAGCTGAAATTTTCAGCAAGGGGAGGTGAAACGGATTGGATGACAGCCCACCGTCGCCTCGAGCACATCGCTATGCTCACAATGCATCAACTGCACAAGAACCAAGGGGCTAAATGGCTGGAGCTATTAGGTGCAGCAGCAACCCACAAGTGTGAAACTAGCTTGCTGAGCAAGGTTACTCGGTTCCCGTTCCATGTAACCAAGGGTGGCGACAAGAAGCTGCTGGAGCTAGTGCATATGGACGTCGTGGGGCCGCAACCGGTGGTGGAGAAGCATGGTGAGAAGTTCTTTCTCACCATTGTGGACGACTGGAGCCAAGTGACATGGGCATATCCTATCAAGAAGAAGGACCACGTGCCAGTGATTATCCGTGATGAGTGGCTGCTATTGGCAGAGAAAGCAGTCCCAGCACAAGGTGATGCAGATTAGGACTGATATTAGTGGAGAGTTCCTTGGGGAGGAGCTGATTACATGGTTAAAGAAGCAAGGCATCATTCAAGAGCTCACCACCTCCTATACGCCACAATCCAATGGCGTAGTAGAACGGGCAAACCGCACAGTCTTGAGACAGCAAGGGCTCTTATCATTGAGTCAAGTTTGGGAACTCCAAGTGGCCACATGCTGTGCGCCATGCCATGGTGGTTAAGAACAGGGTGTTCATCAACATCGGTGGTAAGTTATGGGTTTCCATGGAGAGGTGGCTTGGGAGGAAGCCGCCCCTTGATATGCTGCGTGTGTTTGGCTGCATGGCTGTGGCTCATATCCCCAAGACACAATTGCAACAAGTTGGGTGCAACGGCCGTGTGGTGTGTGCATTTGGGGTTGGCAGCAGAAAGCAAGGGGTGGCTATTGTGGGAGCCGAGCAAGGGAGTTGTGTTCGACAGTAGTGATGTTAAGTTCATGGAAGACATCACCTATGGGAGTTGGTCCAAACAGCCAAAGGAGCAGATTGTGCAGCAACTGCAGCTGACAACTATGGGGTTTGAGTTGGAGGAGGAGTGGGTTGGGGGGGAGATTGCGATGGCACACGAGGAGGAGGGTGAAGTAAAGCTCCCCGTGGTTAAGACTGTGGAGACAACGGATGAACCTGAAGAACCTCATCTTATAACATGTGTGATTCCCCCCACTCTCCCCCAAAGGAGAACCCAAACCAAACCCCAACCCACAGGACGGAACTTCTCACCCATGATGACGCGACAGACGCGGGCTGCCGCCCTGAAGGGGAAGGCAAGGGGTGAAGGAGGAACGAGGGGAGAGCAGTAGCATCATGATGCATTGCTGGTGCTAGAGAGCAGCTGAGATTCTAATGAGGAAACAGAGGAGGAGGTGTATTGCTTCATGGCATCTAGACCGACCATGGAGAATGCTCTTAACGGACTGGATAGGGACAAGTGGTTGGTGTCACGAGATGCTGAATACAATAGCCTAATGGAGAATGAGACTCGAGAGCTGGTGCCACTGCCAATGGGAAAGAAAGCCATAAATTGTGGCTGGATTCCCAGGATTAAAACCGACAACAAAGAAGCCGTGTCAGTTTACAAGAGTAGGTTGGTTGCAAGGGGTTACCAACAGAAAGAATGGGAGGACTACAAGGAAACCTTTGCTGCAAATGCGAAGCCGCCAAAACTGCGTGTTCTCGCTGGTGCAGCTGTGTACGGGTGGGTGATAGTTCAGATGGATATCACCACAGCCTTCCTCTATGGGCTGGTAGATGAAGAGGTGTTCATGTCACAGCCGCCGGGTTATGAGGATGGTACCGAGCGTGTGTGCAGCTGAAGAAGGCCATGTATGGCCTTAAACAATCACCACGCTGCTGATACAAGAAGTTGCTTTTGGTGTTAGAGGAGATAGGCTTCAGGGCAAGTGCATGTGACAAGAGCCTTTTCCTCATGGGGGAGAATGAGGCCCTTGTCATGTTCCATGTGTACATGGATGAAATTCTGTTGTTTGGGAGCAGCAAGCAGGAGGTGACGAAAGTGCAGCAGAAGCTAATGCAAAACTTGGGCATGCACATCGAGAGGGACATCAGCAATGGGTGGGTGAAGCTGCACCAGGAGAAATACATCAAGGACATGGGTTAGAAGTATGACATTGAAGTCGGGAGGAAAGTTGTCACACCACTTCAATCCGAGCTCAAGCTCGTAAAGGCCGGAGAGAACGAGAGGGTAGATCAGCGAGAGCAAACACGATTTCAGTCCGTGGTGGGAAGCTTGCTCTATGCAGCAGTGCATATCCGGCCTGACGTCACATTTGGTGTGGGGCAGCTGGCTAGGGTGGTGCAGAACCCAACCGAGGAGCAGGTGGATGCAGCTGATCGAATCTTTCAAATACATAAATTCCTATCCCACCGTCGGAGTTCAGTACTCTGCTATGGCACAAAAGAAGCAAAAGGGAATAGAGGTTCTCAAGGAGAAGGGGGAGCACCTGCGAGAGAGGGAGCTGTTCCTTATAGGCTTTGCTGATGCATCGTGGGCGTCAGAGAAAGAGGACATGTCTTCAGTGGGTGGATACCTGTGTGTGATTGGGGGAGGACCCGTGAGCTGGAGGTCAAAGAAACAGGTGGAAACTGCAGGTTCATCTGCTGAAGCTGTGTACATGTCAATGTACCACGCGGCCAAGGAGCTGGTTTGGTTGCGGAAGCTGCTGGAGGAGATTGAGCATAAGCAGAAGGCATCAGCCCCACTATTTTGTGACAACTAAAGTGCCATCTCCATGGCCAAGAATGCGGTACTGCATGGGCTTACCAAGCACATGCGCATCAAGTGGCATTGGCTGCGCAAAGAAGTACAGAGGGGAACCCTTGAGCTTCTCTACGTGAAGACGCAGCAGCAGCCGGCTGATTTTCTCACAAAGCGGCTGGCTGAGGAACCTCATTGGCGCTGTGCTAAGCTGAGTGGCATGAGCCCTAACTAGGCCCGCGCATGTGAGTGCAAGCAAGGGAATGCTTGTGGGGGAGTTTGTTGAGTGCAAATATTTATTTATTTGCACGTCAACCAGCCGTCCGCGTCGCATTTCACATTTTGTGTGTGCGCATTCTTCATTTTCATTCTGTGATGTTATGTGCGCACTTGTAATTGCATTTCGTGCTTGTGCATCTTCAGTTTCATTTTCACTATTCTCATGAAGCACTCAAATGAGGCTCACATGCTGTGCTCTAATGAGGCTCACATGATGTGCTCAAATGAGACTCCCATGAAGTCTCAAACGAGGCCCTCTAGAACTCAAATGAGTTCTTATGAAAGTCACATGAGAAATATTTCATGCGAGGGTCGTATGGGCGAGCTTCAAATGTTTTATGCGAGGCTCATTGGAGTGCTGTAAGCCTCGAATGTTTCAAAAGAGGCTTATGTGAGTGAGTGGTGTGCTAGGAGCCTCAAAAGTTTGACTGGTCAAACACTCAAGGCTCGAGCATGTGTCAGCACTGTTGTGCGTGCACTGTACTGCACGATCGCAATAGGACAAGGCATGTTCCGGCCCTGTCCCGCACTGTACACGCGCATGATTGCGATGATGGCGCTGTACAGCTGGACCGAGAAAAAATATCGGTCGTGTGTGTGGCATGCGGAGAGTAACTCTACAACGGTAGTGAGGTGGACAACGGGGTTGGCACGAACTACTAAATGTGATCGTAGCTTTGCTTAATTCCTTGACGCTTGCGCATTCACGTGAGTAATCGGCAAGAGTTTCCACTAGGCAAAGTCGAAATTACAGAATGATTTAACAAACAATGACAGAATGCCTACAGCAGGCACCTAACAACCCTGCAGCTAGCCTGGTTGACCGCCAGCACCGCTCGGTCGACCGCCTGCCAGCGTTGCGTAGAGGAGCCGTGCCAGCACTGCAGAAGGGCGACCTGCCAGCAGAGCAGGTCGACGGCGTGCCAACGCTGTACCAGATCGGCTGTCCAGCGTTGCCCCGTAGTGCGCACGCTCGCAAATGCGCGCAGACGATTGGCCCGACTTGCCTCGTTGGGCATCCGTTGGCTGTTGTCTGCGCCCGACGAGCCACCTCGACTTCGCGATGCCAGCCCGCAGTCGTCTTCGCCATCGCGACCTCGACGACTTTCGCGTGCCTCCGCCGAACTCGACGAGCAGGGTACCCGGTCGACCTGGTCGACCACCAGGTGCTTCCGGTCGACCACCACTGCCTCTAGTCGACCACCAGGTCCCTTTGATCGACCAACAGGTGCCCCTGGTCGACCACAGCTCCCGTAGAGCTACCCCTTGGTCGACGGACCCCTTCCGTCGACCAGAACTGTCAGCGGTTGTCGCCGAGCTCCCCTCGTCGACCGCTGCTCACTTATCAGGTCGACAATCTGCTCCATCGACCTCCCGGTCGAATTGCAGGTCGACAGACTGCTCTCGGTCGAGCTGCAGGTCGACGGAGACCCCCTGGTCGAGGTGCTGGTCGATGGAGGCCTCCCGGTCGAACTGCCCCTCCTGGTCGACGGCCCACCCGTCGCCCAGACTAGTCAGTTGCAGCTGTCGAGCTGACAAGCAGCACCACAGCGGTCCCCTGCAGCTCGACGATGCTCGTCGAGCAGCTCTCCTACTGTGAACGGTCGGCTGCTATTCCCGTACATCCGACCAAGTCGTCGGCGTTGCCCAAGTGAGGGCGGGGCCAACACTCCAGGGATGATGTGTGTAGATTGGTTGACAACGTGTTGCGTTGGTCGATTGTGTGTGCAAAAGATCTCACTCTGTCAACCTGGAGCGAGAGCAAGAGCGGCATGATCTTTGCGTCCGGAGCCTTCACTGCTTGTGCCGTGACCGCCTTCCAGCCCAAGAAGGTCACTGGGACAGTGACTATGAAGCTGTACCAGATGGCATGGCTCGAGCATGTGGTGAGTTGCATCACATTCATCGATACTCCGACCCGTGCAAGGGACTCATGCCAATGTGAAAGGTGTTTGTTGTTACACGCAGGTGACGGACACGATCCTGAACTGGCCGGAACACATGAGTTGGGTGAGGTGATGGAGATGAGAATGAGGTCGCTTGGCGTGCAGCTGAAAGAGACAAGGAGAAGGTTGGAGGAGGCTGAGAGGAGACGAGTGGTGGAGACAAGGAAGTCAAGGGGTCAGGTGAAAGAGAGGGAGAGAGAGCTGGCTGCAGTGAAGGGGGAGGTGACTGAACTGAAGGATGCTCTCAACAAGTTGGATGTTGAGCTGAAGATCAGCCAGAATGAAGGCGATGAGAAGACAGCATGGGAGGTGAGTGCTGCGGTAATAGTTTCAGGCATGCATGGTTCGGCTGGGCGTGCATCACTTGCTAGTTCTTTCTTGTCACTGTGATCATCCCTTTTCTTGCCATGTTTACCTTCTTCCCCCGTTTTCACCAGACAATCAAGTCAGCATCACAAAAGACCCACCTGGACCTGAACGGCCTTAATGATGTCTCAGACGCCATGCTCGCCCATGTGTCTGCCATGACGCATGTGACAAGCATTAACTTGGACTCTAGCTCAGGCTTCAGTGCAGAGGGCATCAAGCACCTCTACAGGCTGCCTCGGCTGGAAACGCTAGACCTCTAGGGAGCAGATGTCTCAGACAGTGCCTTGGAAGGCATTGGGGCCTTGACCAGTCTCAAGCAGCTTTACTTTTTGGAGAATGCAGTGACCGATGCTGGTCTGTCACACCTGACAGCGCTGTCCTCTCTTAAAGAGCTGTGGCTTGGTGGTCGCAGGGGTGTGACAGATGCGGGCATGGTGCATGTGGGGAGGCTGACCGGGCTTGAGGACCTTCGGCTAGGTTGGACGCCCGTCACGGATGATGGGCTGCAGCAGCTGAGTGCCCTGACCAAGCTGACAACTCTCCGGCTGCCAAATGGGGACTTGGTTTACGATGAGGACGTGCATGGGTGGCTAGGCAGGTACGGGGGCCGAGAGTGATGGAGGGGATGGAGACACATGAGGGCAGAGTTGACTGTGACTTCTTGGAGGAGGGACGTGGAGGCAAGTGGTGTGAAGAATGGGGGGAGTACGTGCAGGAGTGCACAAGGCGTAGGAGTAGAAGGGGTGTACGCATACAGGACTCTGCAGGAGGTACGCACGAAGGTGCAGCGGCTTGCTGGAGAGCATTATGTTGCGGTTGGTTGGTGTGCTGCTGTGTCGTTCTGCAAGATAGAGCAGTTTTGTAAAGGCAGACGTGTCTTGGGTGCAATGTGTGTATTGTGAGTCTATCGTTTCTCAAACAATAGAAGCATCTTTGATTTGTCTCCATGTTGTTTCTTACATGGGGCATGAACGAATTGTGCTCGAGGTTACTTCTGCGTTGCCTGGGAAGCAGGGCATGATACTTGAAACGGAGGTTAGAAATGAGTAGTAGGACGACTGTGTTAGCATGAGTAAAGGGCAGAGGTCTTGCATCTTTTCCGTTGCCTTTCTCCCGTTCTCCCTTCTGCTTGTCCATTTATAGGCATGCTGGAACCATTCTTCCATGCCCCCTTGCTTCCATGCTTCCATGCTCTCATGCCCCGCTGCCTCCATGCTCCCCATACTCTTAATCCGATGCTCCTATGCTCCCATGTTCCCACCCCATGATCTCTTGCTCCTGTACTCCCACTCTCCCATGCTCAATGCCCCCATACTCGCATTCTTTCGTGCTCCCATGATCCCATGCTATCTTTCTCCCATTTTCTCATGCCCTTAGTCTCCCATGCTCCCATGCTCCCATGCTCCCGTGCTCCCGTGCTCCCTTGCTCCCGTGCTCCCGTGCTCCCATGCTCCCATGCTCCCATGCTCCCATGCTCCCGTGCTCCCGTGCTCCCGTGCTCCCGTGCTCCCGTGCTCCCGTGCTCCCATGCTCCCATGCTCCCATGCTCCCATGCTCCCATGCTCCCATGCTCCCATGCTCCCGTGCTCCCGTGCTCCCATGCTCCCATGCTCCCATGCTCCCATGCTCCCGTGCTCCCGTGCTCCCATGCTCCCATGCTCCCAAGCTCAGAGGCATTGTGTTGCCTGGGAGACAGGGCATGATGCCTAGGCTAGGACTGAGAGAAGAAGTGAAGCAGAAGGAAATGGGACTGTGTCTCCCTGAGTAAAGGGCAAAGCTCATGCATGTTGCTGCATCTCCTACCCATATTTCCATTGCCTTTCTCCCTTCTCCGTTCCTTGCTTGTCCATTAACTGGCATGCTGGAACCATGCTTCTATGCTCCCATCTCTATGAATGGACGCATCACTAAGTAGTGACGGCAGTTGGAATGATTGGGAATAGCTTCTCAGATTACGGCAGGCAGGGGTGCGTGCTAACGTGCAGTGCAGGTGAGAGAAGCCGAGTATGGAATCTCAATCATTTTCTCACCCTAGATCTCTTCTTCCATCTAATGCTGCCGCGCAAACCTTTCTTCTTTTGTGCCTTGTTCCATACGCACCCAGCATAGTGCTTCTGGTGTTCATTCGTTGGTGAAATAATGAATCTGAGCACTGTTTTCTCGAGTGCAGTGCCATCAGCTATTGCCCACTCCCCTTTCCTTGCTCTATCTATGCTTTAGCCCTCTTCGCCCTCTCCCTGACTCTCACCCACTCCCTTCCACTTCCCCAACCACCAGCACCTGTCCTGTACTAACTGGGAGGGGCCCAGATTATCCCCACCACTGGTGAGCATGGCTGCAGATGCCCCCCCCTTCATGGCAGCACACTGCTGGGCACCAATGGCGGTGAAGCAGCATCCCACCATGGCGGAGCTGCAGTGGTGGCGGTGAAGTGGGTCAGCAGGAAAAGGGGTGGAGGCTGGCGTGAGGGAGGCATGGGACGTGAACTGACCCACCCATGGGAGGGAGGGCTGTTTTGAGCCATGAATGTGAGATTGTGGATGGTTTTTTTTCAGGTGATGGCAGGCAGGGCGACGTGCCAATGCGGAGGTGAGAGAAGCAGAGAAGGCGGAAAATCTGAGTCATTTTCTCATCCTAGGCATCTGAGAGAAGTGGAGTAGGGACCCACCTCCCTCTTCTTCCATCCATTGCTACTGATTGATCACGCCTTCCTTTGTTTGTGCCTTCGCCTATTCTCAGCCAGTATTGCGCTTTGGCGCTAGTTTGCTTATATGGCAGAGTGAACCTGATCACTACTCCCTCGTGCATCTCATGATCTCAGTATGTTGCTGGTTCTCATCACCGCACTGCTAGTAGTGACTAGCGCCAGTTTTCAGTGCTGGTTTGCTGACAATACAGAATGTGGTCAATACCTTCTCGAGTGCAATGCTATCATAAGCTATCTCCACTCCCCTCTCCTTGCACAGCAGTACACTAAGACCTTCTTCCCTCTCTCCTCCATACTCCCTTTCCTTGCTTGCCAGCAGCACTCTCGCATAGCCCAGTAATGAGATGCCCAGCAATCTTTCACTCCCCCTTCCTCGCTCGCTCAGCAGTGCGCTCCGACCTTTCTTCATCTCCCCCCCACATTCCCGTTCCCTTGACACGCCAAAAGCTCTCTCCGTTAGACCACTGACGAGGAGCCCAGCTCATCCCTGCAACCCACCAGCCGGGCAGCAGCCACTGGCTGCTGTAGCAGCGGTGATGGTAAGGTCGTTCAGCACCAACTAGAGGGACGCGGGCAGGAGGGAGGCATGAGAGCTGCATGCACGGTCCACCAAAGAATGTGTAGTTGAGAATCAGTACTAGTCCTTAAGCCACTATGGTGGTGGGTGGGTGGGGAGAGAGGGTGAAACGGCAGCTCTCAACAGTTTTATTATACGATACCATTGTACCATTCATCTAATCACAACATGTCCTTCATCTCATCGTGCGGTGCACCTTATCAACAATCACCCCATGCACAAACCATCTGGTCCTCCCTACCCTGGATCCTCGTTGTTTCCCCACCACCACCTTGTTCCCCAGCCATTCCAGCCTACCCATAGCCTTTCCATTATTTCGCCATCTCCTGCGTCAAGACCAGGCTATTACCCAAAACCCCCTTTTATGTCCCCACTCCCCCTCCTTTCCCCGCTCACATCTCTACTCTTCCCTTCCTCCCCATGGAGAGTCCCCACAATGTTTATCCCTGCAGCTGCTTCTAGCAGTTGCCTCCACATTATGCCATGGTGTGCAGGGAAGTGAGGTTGCCAGGGAGGTGGTGCGTAGAGCACGGGCAGAGCTAGTATGGCTGGAGCACTCCAAATAGTTTTTAAGGTCGTATCGGCTGCCACGTCTGTGTGCTCTAGGCAGCTGTGCAAGCATACCTCATCCCATACCTCATTCCTAGAACGCAATCCATCGCTTATCCCATACCTGCCCTGCCCATTATGCAACCCTGCCCTTCTGTCATGCCCTTCACTTTATGGGTGCAGACACTGTATTTAAGTACAATGGGGCAGCCTTTCTGAAGCACGTCAATGTATTGTGGTGGATTCAACGACCTTGGGAGTTGGACGAGCTGTTTGGACCACTGAAGCGCAAACTGAGAGCATTTGAAGAGCTGCAAGTTACCAGCTCCTCCATGGAATCAGTTCTTCCAGCTCCAGGGAATCAGCTCCTCTTACTGTGTCAGCAGCCTACTGTGCATTCATAGTAGGTGCTGCTTGGGAGATGGTGCGATGGGCAGAAGTTGAAGTGGTTGTACACTAATCTTGTCATGGACATTACAAGGAGGGCTGGCTGGTGTCTTTCACATTGCTCAACAGCTAGGTTTGCGGTCAAGTGCACAGCAGCATGTATCACATCACATCGGCCCGCATCACAACCGCACAGCACTGGCGCACTGCTTCCTGCTTTACCTCTGTCCTCCGCTCCGCCCCATGGCATGGCATCCACCCCGACCAAGAAAATGCTTTCATAATGTCCTCTCCAGCAGCCACTGCCGCTAGTCCGTATGACATTGGATTAGGTAGTGAGATGTGGGTTTGATTTGGAAAATACACTTGTAGTATTGGACCCCAACAAACATATTATAGAACATGGTCAAGCGTGCATATCCAAGTAAGGTGAACAAGTTTCAAAAGCACACCTTGCAATCTCTACAAAAAATGCCCTCAGCTTCTGTCCTCTCATGCATTTCCTTATTCCACTATGCAGGGACACCCAGAAACCCAGAGGCAGTCTCATCCAACTTCCCTCATGCACAATAGACCAAACAGCCATGGGCCAACTGTTTGGTTCAATTCGCTGCAATATGCTGCACCATTCCATGACCACTATTCAGCCATGCACAACCACATTCCATGCCTCACTAATTCACATGCATGCCGTCCCTCATCACACCCCTTGCCTCCACACTTCTTCTCAGTCTCCCCTAGAGAGTCACAGCCAACTTTACCCTCCAAATCCCTTTCCAGCATCTCTACCTGCCATCCTACCAGCCCATCCGCCTGCGTACAGCATCACCCGTAAGTTTACCCCCCTCTGGTGGCCAGGAAGCTGTCAGCTGAGTGAGGGCAGTCAGCTGCTGCAGCCCATCATCCGTGACTGCCGTATAATCCAGCGCAAGCTCCTCAAGCCCTGTCAGCCTCCCCACGTGCACCATGCCAGCAGCAGTCACATCGCAATCAGTAAGCCACAGTAACTTGAGAGAGGAAAGGCCTGTCAAGCGTGGCAGACCAGCATCAGTCACCTTGGTCCTCTGGAGATCAAGGCGTTCGAGACTGGACAAGGATTCGACGCCTTCCAAGGCACTATCTGAGACGATTGTGCCATCCAGGTCCAGCTCCTCCAGCTGTGGCAGCCTGTAGAGGTGCTTGATGCCTTCTGCACTGAAGCCTGAGGCAGAGGTACAGTCAATCTTCTTCAGATGCGTCATTGTGGACACATGGGCGAGCATGGCGTCTGAGAGGCCGCTGAGACCTTTGAAATCGAGTTCGGCCTCTTGAGATGCTGACTTAATTCTCTGGAGGGGATGAGTGAGAAGTGAATAAGTAAAGCCTCAGACCAGTCCCTTTTGAGACGGAAGTGGGAGAAAACGACAAGATAAGGGAAACGATGAATGCCCTGTTGAACGTATGTATGACCAATAAAGTTAAGGCTGACCTCTAATGCTGCAAACAAAGCTATCTTGGATAGCTTTCTCTGGAATGAATGGGTGACGTGAAGAGCGCATACACGGGGAAAAGGACGATAAGCATGAACCAGTAACTCAGCACTCACCTCCAATGCTTTCTTCCGATCGCCTTCATGCTGCCTAATTTCAAACTCAATATTCAACTTCATGTCTTGTGTCTTCTGCCATTCCTTACAAGCTGCCAATTCTTCCATAACATGCGTCCAATCCAACTCCTGGACCTCCCTCGTCCTCTCCTTTCTCTTCCTTGCCAACCCCTCTCTTATTTCAACCTCTCCCTTTCTGACCTCCGACCCCAGATCTTTCAAATCAGAATGCCTCCTTTGCTCTGCCATAGTCCTCTTGTGTTCAGCTAACTCCCCTTTCACTGCAGTCAGCTCCCAATTCACTGCAATCAACTCTGCCTTGACTCCAATCAATTCCTTCACTGTTGTCAGCTCCTTCCCCCTCTCCTCCACCACAGCAGCAGTCACCGCACTCCTCTCTCCCACAACACCCAGTGCACGCCTCAATTCATTCAACTCACGCTCCAAAACCTGATTCTTCCCCTCCAGCATCACCACTCGCTCATTCTGTCGGCCCACCTCCTCTTTCAGCACGGCACGCATCACAAAAATCAAGTGGCTGAAAACCTCTCATGATGTGTTTCTCATGTGTTTTTGCAGATGATTTGAAGATGTAGGGGTCGGTACTTTTTTAGAAGAAAGTATCGAACTTTTCCAAGATGATGTGTCAGATGCTTTGTAGATGGTTGGAGTGTTTTAAAACAGTTGTGAGGAACTTCTCATTGTGTTTAGGATAACTCGTTTTGATCATATTTGGTTAAATTATGTGATTCTTTTTTGTGCTTGGATAAGTTTTGCTTCACACTTTTATATGCACATAATAATATAGGAATAGGAATATGCAACATTTAAAGAAACCACAATTGGAGATTGAAAATCACAATTGGTAGTTTGTAAAGGGCTTTCCATAAATTCACCGCAAGAGGGAAATAATGTACGTGTAAATCATAATATTAGCTTGAAAAATGCTTACAACACAGTAGATGCCTACTCATCCTCTGGTACCTAGCTGGCACCTGCGCTACTTCTCCCCACTATCAACCCCTAGGTCCATACTATGCCGCATGCTTCCTGCTGCGCTACTCCATGCTACATTCTCCCTACTGTGCTGCTCCCTGCTGCATCCTCCCTGCTGTGCTACTCTCTGCTACATCCTCCCTGCTGTGCTACTCTCTGCTACATCCTCCCTGCTGTGCTACTCTCTGCTGCATCCTCTCTGCTGTGCTACTCTCTGCTGCATCCTCTCCTCCCCTTCCATGCTGCTACTCCTCTCCTCCCTTCCTTGCTGCTACTCCTCTCATCCCTTCCCTGCTGCTACTCCTCTCCTCCCTTCCCTGCTGCTACTCCTCTCCTCCCTTCCCTGCTGCTACTCCTCTCCTCCCTTCCCTGCTGCTACTCCTCTCCTCCCTTCCCTGCTGCTACTCCTCTCCTCCCTTCCTTGCTGCTACACCTCTCTTCCCTTCCTTGCTGCTACACCTCTCCTCCCTTCCTTGATGATGCTCCTCTCCTCCCTTCCCTGCTGCTGCTCCTCTCCTCCCTTCTCTGCGGCTGCTCCTCTCCTCCCTTCCCTGCTGCTGCTCCTCTCCTCCCTTCCCTGCTGCTGCTCCTCTCCTCCCTTCCCTGCTGCTGCTCCTCTCCTCCCTTCCTTGCTGCTACTCCTCTCATCCCTTCACTGCTGCTACTCCTCTCCTCCCTTCATTGATGATACTCCTCCCTTCCCTGCTGCTACTCATCTCCTCCCTTCCCTGCTGTTACTCCTCTCCTCCCTTCCCTGCTGCTACTCCTCTCCTCCCTTCCCTGCTGCTACTCCTCTCCTCCCCTCCCTGCTGCTGTTCCTCTCCTCCCTTCCCTACTGCTGCTCCTCTCCTCCCTTCCCTGCTGCTGCTCCTCTCCTCCCTTCCCTGCTGCTGCTCCTCTCCTCCCTTCCCTGCTGCTACTCCTCTCCTCCCTTCCCTGCTGCTGCTCCTCTCCTCCCTTCTCTGCTGCTGCTCCTCTCCTCCCTTCCCTACTGCTGCTCCTCTCCTCCCTTCCCTGCTGCTCCTCCTCTCCTCCCTTCCCTGCTGCTCCTCCTCTCCTCCCTTCCCTGATGCTACTCCTCTCCTCCCTTCCCTGATGCTACTCCTCCTCCCTTCCCTGATGCTACTCCTCTCCTCCCTTCCCTGCTGCTGTTTCTCTCCTCCCTTCCCTGCTGCTGTTCATCTCCTCCCTTCCCTGCTGCTGCTCCTCTCCTCCCTTCCCTGCTGCTGCTCCTCCCCTCCCTTCTCTGCTGCCGCTCCTCTCCTCCCTTCCCTACTGCTGCTCCTCTCCTCCCTTCACTGCTGCTACTCCTCTCCTCCCTTCATTGATGATACTCCTCCCTTCCCTGCTGCTACTCATCTCCTCCCTTCCCTGCTGTTACTCCTCTCCTCCCTTCCCTGCTGCTACTCCTCTCCTCCCCTCCCTGCTGCTGTTCCTCCCGTCCCTTCCCTGTTGCTGCTCCTCTCCTCCATTCCCTGCTGCTGCTCCTCTCCTCCCTTCCCTGCTGCTGCTCCTCTCCTCCCTTCCCTGCTGCTGCTCCTCTCCTCCCTTCCCTGCTGCTGCTCCTCTCCTCCCTTCCCTGCTGCTGCTCCTCTCCTCCCTTCCTTGCTGCTGCTCCTCTCCTCCCTTCCCTGCTGCTGCTCCTCTCCTCCTTTCCCTGCTGCTGCTCCTCTCCTTCCTTTCCCCCTCCTACTCCTCACCTCTCTTCCCCCATCCTACTCCTCTCCTCCCTTCTCTGCTGCTACTCCTCTCCTCCCTTCCCTGCTGCTACTCCTCTCCTCCCTTCCCTGCTGCTACTCCTCTCCTCCCTTCCCTGCTGCTGCTCCTCTCCTCCCTTCCCTGCTGCTGCTCCTCTCGTCCCTTCCCTGCTGCTGCTCCTCTCCTCCCTTCCCTGCTGCTACTCCTCTCCTCCATTCTCTGCTGCAATTCCACCATTCATCTCCTCTAGACGTGACCTGAGGCCACCCTCCTTGTCGGGTTGCGGGGTTGTGGTCTAGGCCTATACTCCTCGAACCCCGACTCATGGACGAACAAGCCGAAGTTCCCCCACTTAAACCCTTTCATCCGTGGATCGTACACAGGGTTCACCTGGCGGAAATGATCCGTCACCGCCCGTTTCACCGCCCTACGGATGCTTGTCACCCACCGCGTGTTCTTACGGTGGGAGTTTGTGAGGTTCATCGTCGACTTCTTGATCTTCGACAATCCGTAGTCGATCTGCGTTGTCAAGAATCGAAATCATGAACAAATTCAAGCTTGATAAGGATGTGTGAGAGGTTTATGGTTATGCGGGGCAATCGCAAGATGCAGGAAAGTACGCCAGTGGTAGAATGTGAGCATGAGACATGAGTGGGCGCAGCTTTTGAAGGAAATGTGGAACCAATGAATGTTTGGAAACACCTGAGGGGTTTAGGGTTCTGATGGGTACTGCATGGATGTGAGGAGAAAGGAGAAAAGGATTAACAATGTAAGTCTGTGAGTGGAAGAGTGCAACCAGAGGGTTTAGGGTACAACTCGAGAGGAGTGGAAACCTGGGTTTCAAGGAGCAACGGAGGGGAAGTTGGAAACACGAGTGCATAAGGTTTAGGGTTGATGGCATGGGGCAGGTGGAAACACAAGGAAAAAAGATCCGTCTAGAGAAACACGCTAAAGGGCCCTAACAAGTCACTCACCACCAAGATAGTCCATGCAATGTGATATGCCTTCAAGAAAATGTCGTTCCCCACGGCAAATTCACCAAATGCGTCCATGGCCGCGTTGAAGAAAATCTCGTTGCCGAACGGGAGATCACTATCCTCGGCATTTCCCCATGTGCTCAGTAGGGCGTCCGCACCTGCAACATGCTCGAACAAAAGTGGTCCAAGGGTTGGGGTGTGATATGGGAAAAGGGTTAGGGGGTGATGTAAAGTACCTTTTAAGACAACAAGTACGGAATATGGGATGTTGCAAGATAGGGGTGCTAGGGTTGAGATGGTGAGAAAGGGGGGAGGGGGGGAAGGTGGGGGAAAATGACAAGCTTATGTTTACTCACTCGGGCCAAACTCGCCCCAGAGTTCCTCCTTGAGCTCGGTGTCGATGTGAATTTCCGCCGCCCGCAAGCCACTCATGGGAACCCCCAAACCCTCGAGCACGGTGCGTTTGACGTAAAACCCACGCTCGTTCTTCCACTGAGTGTACACGCGCTTGAATGCATCCCTGCGCGTTTTATCTGCCATGGCCTCCTTGAGTATGATCAAGGGAACCACGTAGTGCTTGGAAATAACTTCGTGCAAAACAAGAATGCGCTTCTCAAAGCTTGGATAGAACGTGATGAGATGGTCCTCAGCCTCCATACACATGCGCGTCCGAGCTTCTTCCATGTAGAGCTGTTCAATACGACATAAAGGGACCAACAATGTAAAGGTAAACCACAATGACAGAGGAGGTGCAAAATTATCCGGTTGAAACGGAAAACCAGAGAACACTAGTGGACGAGCCATTGCCACGGACGGGCCAGCCAATAGGATTGAAAACCAAGATAATGTGAATGATAATGACCATGGACAAGAATGGGATACGCAAAAAAGCATGTAAAACCAGGGACTGCACGAGAATGAGCAAATGCACAGATTGGAACCAGAGAAAGAGAATGGTGGGAACCATTTGTCTTAGAATGAGGGGTGAACCATAGCATGAGAATGAGGTGTACCACCAGAGGATGAGGAGGGTTAAACCAGAGAATGAAAACAAAGGGCAAACCAGAAAATGGGAATGAAGGGTAAAACGGAGATTGTGAATGAGAAAAGGTCACTGCATGGAATGATTCCAGAGAGTGGGAATGACTAGACAAACAAAGAATAAGAATGGTAATGCGCGGTTGGGGACAATAGAATGATATAATGTACAAGCCAGCGAGTAGGGTCCACCAATGGGTAAGTGAGATGGGTGGCACTTACCTTCAGATTTGTTGCATTAGGCATCCCATGCCTCCTGGTGATTGGAGTGCCTTGAACATCACTCTCCGCCACAGCGCCCGGCGTTTCGGGCGGCTCAGGTTGCTCGCTGGAGATCGAGGTAAGCGGCGGGAGTTGCGTCCCGTTTCCCCCCCGGTCCACCAAAGGTCCCCAACCGGCCTTCAGCTCTGCGATCTGCCTATTAGCTTCCTGCAAAGCCTGAAAGAGTTGCTGCATGGAATCATTAGGAGTGGTGCTTGAAGGAATGATGGGCACTCCGCTAGCGTTGAGCGGGGAATTGCCTCCTGCCGATGCAAACGGGAGGGGAGTTGCTGGGTCAGAGCGTCCAACTTTCCTTTCATCATTGAACCAATCTCCAACACCACCCGCCTCACCCTCATTCGCCCCCAGCCCCCCACCACAGGCCAGATCGTCACCACCACCGGCTGGATTGAGCGTGTTGTCATGCTGCTGGCCAGCGTTCTCACGCACGCTCCGATCTTGAAATCGAGACGCCCTCTTTCCCAATCCTGAGGTAGAAGCAAGGGCAGCATACGGATCGTTGGTTGCTGCCTGTTTCATCCGAACGGTCTCCCGACGATTCGACGGTCCAGCATCTTCCGAGTGACCCAAGGTCCTCATCTCATCGTAGAAGCGAAGGTCCTGTCTCACAACAGGACGCTCCTTACGACGCCGATTGGGTCCCTCAGATTCTGTGCGCTTTCCTTGAGCACGCTCTCGACGTCTCTGCCGTTTACGTCCATTACCGGCCTTACCACCGGTTGCATGACCCCGCTTTCCACTATAGCGGTGGTTGCGCGCTCCTCGTGCCCTCCCCCCTCTCCTACCGTCGTCATCACTCCCGGACTCAGATTCAGCGTCATCACTCTCGTCCTCCTCCTCATCATACTTCTCCTCGCTCCCAGAGGAACCCCCTGATTCCTCCTCAGAACTATCATCTTCATCTGAAGATTCCACCTCTGCAACGGCCTTCTTTCCAGCATTTCTGGCCCGTGCCTTCACTCTCCTTGACACCCCTCTCTGATCTTCTAACTCTGCGCCACGTCTCTCCCTCCCACCCTCCCCATGACCACGAACATTCTGTGCATCATCCGCCCGGGCACCTGCTGGAGTAGAGGGAGAAGACTCATCACGCGTCATATCACGCTCTCCCTCACGCTTCACCTCACGCTCTCCCTCGTGCTGCACATCACGCTCTCCCTCATGCTGCACATCACGCTCTCCCTCACGCTTCACAACACGCTCTCTTTCACGCTCTCCCTCTCGCTCTCCCTCTCGCTCTCCCTCTCGCTCACCTTCTCGCTCTCCCTCTCGCTCAGCCTCACGCTCTCCCTCCCGGCTGCCATCACGCCTGCCCTCCCGCCTGCCCTCACGCCTGCCCTCACGCTCACCCTCTCTCCTGCCCTCACGCTCTCCCTCACGCTCGTCCTCACGCTTATGCCCTTTCTCTGGCTGTTGCTCCTCGTCGTCTGCATCTTCTCCATGTCCTGTTGCACCCGCTGCGTCTTGTTTTCCCCTTTTCTTGCTCTTGGCACCGGCGCGTGTACCTACAACACGCATCAAGACGATATGCTCAGATAATACGAGGGCCGCACTTCTCTGGATTGTGTGCATACACAGCCAGACTAATAAAGAGCAACTTTAAGACATACAAACGCAGAATGGATATAAAAGCTTGATCCGTACCTTTCCTCCCTGTAGCAGGTTTACACTGGTCCAACGGCTTCAGCTTTCGACCGTTCCTCCGCCCGCGTGAACCGCCGCGACCAACCTTGCCATTGTATGCCTCTTCCTCAGATTGCTCACCATCCGAAGAAGATGCCCCTTCCGATTCCACCTGGGCATCGCGTGCAGGAAGCGTGTTCTTCCGACGATACCTCACAACTAGCTGCGAGGTATCATGAGGCGTCATCTTGTCGTGCAGCTTCTGTTCCGCGTCGGTTCTCGCATCGCCCGAGAGTTGTAGAGCTCCAGCGCTACCGAGGAGCGCACTAGCATTGGCCTGATCGGTAACGATGATGTCCGCCATCTCTCTAACAATTCTGCTAAACAAGCACAATTAACGGCTACCGAACTGAGCTATGAAACCCACGTGCTCAGAGATTCTATAAATAGGCCTTAGAGACTCAAGGAACAGCAGCGCGCGAGCTGGACATGCCTGCCAGAACAGCAGCGCGCAATCGCACTACGTGCCCACGAAACGCGCCGACCAAAGTCGTGCAAGATAGAACAGCCGCGACACGCGTCATTTCTGGACGCGCCGTCCGAGAACAGAACCGCGGCGCCAAACCATGACGAACCTACTACGAGACCAGCACCGCCGCGCCAAGCAGTACGAGCCTACTACGAGACCAGCACCACCGCGCCACGAGCCTATTCTGTTCCTGCACCGCCGCGCCAAAGGAGGACGTGCCTACTACGAGAACAGCACCGCCGCGCCAAGCAGGACGTGTCTACTAGTATGAGAACAGCACCGTGACAACTATTACGTGGCTAGCACAAACAGCTTCTCACTTTGCATAGAGTGCCAGAGGAACCATCTACATGGACGAACAGATAGCAGTTGCTTGACGTACATACCGTAGAGGGATATCGTGAGGAGAACCTAACTGCTACCAGCTAGACAAACTGGGTGCTTCGGACGTGGAGGGTATCGTGGCCTCCCCTCTTGATCGAGCGTCGGCTCCAGATCCTTGTTCCTGTAACGAATTCCCACATGGCAGCACGCTGGGTGGTGGTGGTGGATCACGACAGTTCAACTGCCCTTGAAGTTGCAGGGAACGCGATGGCAATGAGCCATTATTTCAAATCCTAGTTTTGAGCAGCCTAATAGGGCTAGTCGCGGGGGCGTTCGAGTAAGTAATTACAAGCGTGAGTACGGGAACCGAACCAGGCCTTTGCCGCACTACAAAATAACAAGGACAAAAAAAAAAAAACACCCATGTGACAGCAGCAATTTGGCAGAGCGTTGTCCGTGCACTAGCGCGCTTCGAGCCGTGGTGGATTTCGAACATCGCGGTACGTGAGTGCCCCTCGTGGTTGCGTTGAAATTTCGATTTCGTAGCACCACTCTTTGTAGCGAGGATGTTCCTGGTCTGACGTTATTTGAGTATGACGAATTAGGGTAATATGGAATACTTGTTTACATAAACTAACTTATAAAGTAGTTAAGAATAGGGTGTTTCGAAACAGCAATCCTTCACGCATAAACTAGCAGTCTAGGAAACAACATATACCTCAACCAAAATCATCATTGGCGATATAGGGTGAATACTAGGCGTGAGTGCCATCACACTCTGTCTTTAACAACGTCCAAGTCTACGGCCATCAATACGCACTATGCAATTGTTGAGAGCAAGCACAGTCAGTTTCACACCAACAACTGGCATGCCATGTAGATGTTGCATCTCTTGTGAATATAGCCCCGGCGTAGTGGCCTCATTGCTGCATTCATCGGCCGATGCATACCACCTTATCTAGGGTGCTGCAATAGAACGATTATGTGTTTCCCGTGCGCGCTTGTAATCGTGTTTCTACGAGTCCATAGGGTATGCAATGGATTTCTTATAGCTTACTGTCCGGTGTAAATCAGTTATCAAACTGTCAGGCAAGTTTGCATCAAACGATGAGCAGTACAACGCAGCAGAACGTCAGGTGCTAATGCATGTCACTAACTACTAGCAAGCAGGCTTAGGGGTTTCGATCAGCCTGGATCAAACTACTTGCATGGTCCAACGACACAGGACCACTTAGCCAAATCGTGACGATATTGGCGCCTCCACTGTCTTGGTGTCCCGACCAGGTCACACGCATTCAAACAGTCGAACTTGGTCTCGACAAGCGTATGAATGACACGCATCACAAAAACGCCGCAGTCATTCTCGTTGTCCTGCTGGCGCACCTGCAGATTGCACAAAAATCAGGTGATTCATACAAGGCGTTACCATGAGCAGCTTTCAGCGCTCCAGCCCCTTCCCCCCCCCCCCCCTACCCGCCCCCCCCACCTTCCCTGCTCATCCGCGCATCCCATGCCTTCTCCATGCGCATCACACAACTCACACTCCGGAGTAGGAGCAGGGAAGGGCGGAGAGGAGTAGGAGCAGGGAAGGGCGGAGAGGAGTAGGAGTAGGGAAGGGCAGAGAGGAGTAGGTGCAGGGAAGGGCGGAGAGGAGTAGGAGCAGGGAAGGGCGTAGAGGAGTAGGAGCAGGGAAGGGCGTAGAGGAGTAGGAGCAGGGAAGGGAGGAGAGGAGTAGCAGCAGGGAAGGGAGGAGAGGAGTAGCATCAGGGAAGGGCGGAGGGGAGTAGCAGAAGGGAAGGGGAGGAGAGGAGTAGCAGCAGGGAAGGGAGGAGAGGAGTAGCAGCAGGGAAGGGAGGAGAGGAGTAGGAGGGGGGAAGGGAAGAGAGGAGTAGGATGGGGGAAGAGAGGTGAGGAGTAGGAGGGGGGAAGGAAGGAGAGGAGCAGCAGCAGGGAAGGGAGGAGAGGAGCAGCAGTAGGGAAGGGAGGAGAGGAGCAACAACAGGGAAGGGAGGAGAGGAGCAACAGCAGGGAAGGGAGGAGATGAGTAGCAGCAGGGAGGGAGGAGAGGAGTATCATCAAGGAAGGGAGGAGAGGTGTAGCAGCAAGGAAGGGAAGAGAGGTGTAGCAGCAAGGAAGGGAGGAGAGGGGTAGCAGCAGGGAAGGGAGGAGAGGAGTAGCAGCAGGGAAGGGAGGAGAGGAGTAGCCGCAGGGAAGGGAGGAGTAGCACCCTCCCCTACTCGTCCGCACATCCCATGCCTTCTCCATGCGCATCACAAAACTCACCCTCCCCTACTCGACCGCACATCCCATGCCTTCTCCATGCGCATCACAAAACTCACCCTCCCCTACTCATCCGCACATCCCATGCCTTCTCCATGCGCATCACAAAACTCACCCTCCCATACTCATCCGCGCATCCCATGCCTTCTCCATGCGCATCACAAAACTCACCCTCCCCTACTCGACCGCACATCCCATGCCTTCTCCATGCGCATCACAAAACTCACCCTCCCCTACTCATCCGCACATCCCATGCCTTCTCCATGCGCATCACAAAACTCACCCTCCCATACTCATCCGCGCATCCCATGCCTTCTCCATGCGCATCACAAAACTGACCCTCCCCTACTCATCCGCGCATCCCGTGTCTGTCCATGCGCAGCACACAACACCCCCTCCCCTACTCATCAGCGCATCCCATGCTTGTTCATGCGCTGCCTGTCCCACACCACTCCTCCCTTAATCCGTTAATTCACATACCGCTATGGCGTTTAACTGAATCGCAGCTGCCCAGGCCTCTGCTTCGGTCTCCGTGACCCACGCGTAGCACTGCATGACCTGACTCATCAAACACCTGCGCATTGAGACGTACTGCTTGTTAACATCGGTTCCCAACAAGGGCGTTTCATATGCAGCACATATCTCACTTTCTTAATGGCCCATCAATGTCGACGTGAGTTGCATATGAGTCCGCATGCCACAGTACACACTTGATTGGGATAACGGATTCCGGCGCGGCCTTAATTTCGATGACAGCGAGGCTCCAGTGCGCGCTGCAATGCAATCGAGACGTCCATAGTCGTTAGTTTGCAGCACATGTTTACGTGCAACACATATCCAAAAAGACCCGACCACTTACTCCTTGTTAATCGGAACAAGAACGTGCTTAAACGACAAGATGTCAAGTCCATAGGCCTGCCTAGTGATCCTCTTCGTCTCCGGGCGTGCTACGAGGGTCCAGAAATAAGGCGATGTGCAAAGCCACGACGCATTGTCGAGTCCGTACTCATAATGTAACATTCTGCATGATCGACATAAAAAATATGCAAATTCGGTGCAGCTCGTGAGAAACTATAAACAAGGATTAACACTTCAGATTGCCCTGTGTTCAAGATTGAGCTACTCACGATGAGAGCCACTCGATAACCTTGCCACTGATCCACTGCTCGTTTCCCAGCGTGCGGTAATCTGAGGGCTTGATTTCAAGAGATCCCCCAAACGGGGATGGCATGCTCATGTGCTGGAAACGACATCGACCTAACTTGGGTATGCCCTTCTCCTCCATACCTTGAGATAGCAAACTCGGCTTGATGAGGATCTTGCCTAAGGTAAGGGTCGGAATTCTGTTGCCCAGCCAGCTCAACGAAGAGACGAAGCAGGTACTGTACTGTAGTTCCGGAAGGAGGACCCACATGCCCTTGCCCTTCGTTGGTCAACTTTGTGCTCCCTGCTCCCATACGTCGTCAGCGAATAGCGTGCTCTTGATATGTGGTGGAATTTGTGAACAGTGTTGGGCGGTCTGACAGTATTCTCTGCTCCAATGACATTTTTGCGGCTTGTATTATTCTGACACAATTGGCGTGTACGCGAAAATGATGTCAGGTCCATGTCGCAAGCCGAAACGACCCTCGCCAACTTGTTTCCTGTTGGGTACAAAACCTCGTCGGCTTGCTGCGACAAGAAAGCAGTTCGTGAAACCAGTTACGCCGGGAGATGCTGAGTATGAGAGTCGCAAGGCCCATTCGCCTACCTGCGCGGTTGTCGCGCACCAATAAACAGTGTGACCTAACACTTCGAGCAGTACATCACAAACCCTAACCAATTGCGAACCAACGACTGACACTCGATGACCATTCGCCAATCAGAGTCACGGCCACCATATGCTCAGACTCAGATCGCGAATTCGTGTGCGCGCCAAATCATTCCCTCGCCTTTCAGTAAACTATCGACCATACGATGGGCGCTAACTCACCACGGTGCAGTGTTACCATTCACGTCTCAAGCTGGTGTGCCAAACACCATTTCCGTCTTACGGACAGATCTGCTCGATGGAGGGTCAGGCTTGCGAGTTCTGTAATAAGCGCGTGTACTGCTATCAAACAGTAGCTAGCCATCAAGCTAACCATGGCGGCTGTAAGCGGGCCCAAAGACGCAAGGCTCAAGAGGCTGCTGAACGAAAGAAGTTGTGTCGTGACGTTGAGAAGCAGTATACCTCTGTCCCGTTATCAACATCCACCCTTCCCGCACCAGCGCATTCAATTCCCTTAGCAGCACTTCCGAACGCAGTAGAGCAGCAGCCCCAGCCGGCAGAGCGAATTCCTGATGCGGTTCATACGTGTAGCACCACACTCGTGGTGGAAGAAGCTCCTACAGAGGAAATTCTCGATGTTAAGGCGGAAATATGCATTTTGGCACGATCTCACGGACTTACCAACGGGGCGATTAACGACACGATACAGTTAGTTAGACATCCGAAATTGGATCCAAAGCAGCTGGACGATTGGAACAGCTACAGGGACCTGGAGAAGTACGAGAGCAGCTTTGACCTTGGAGCGGAGCACGAATGGATCGTCGAGGAGATCGAAGTGGATCACGAAGTTGGGTTTCTCACCTTCAAGCGCCGAAACGCGATAACTGTGAGTGTATCCGTCGTGCGGTGTCACGGTCGTCAGAGTGGAATGTGTTCAGTGATGATGACTAGACCAAGAGTCTAAAGGGAACCATCAATCTTACGCCTCTGTTTTCGATCATTGTTTCCATGATTATCACCATCAGCTCCTTCAGGCCATGTTCAAGAAGATGTCGGCTGTTAAGGGATTCAGCATCATGCCTCAAGAGTGGAAAGTTGATGGGGTTCGCCGCTACAGTACCCCTGCAAACACGGATTGGATGCTCGAGGCATGGGTAAGTTCCACGTCATCTCATCTCGCTTTGGACACGAGCATCGAAACCTAGGATCCAATACATCTATCCTTCCCTTTATCATCACTCTGGCAGGAGAGGGTGCGGAAGTTTGGCATAGTTATAGCGCTCATTCTCTTCTCGGACCAGACCAATCTATCGTACAACGGCCGCCAATCTGCCCACCCATTTCTGTTGTCCTTTGGGAATATTCCAGAATGGGCTAGGTGGCTGGAAGGAGGCACTGAGCTTCTCGGGTTCCTGCCGAATATCCCAGCTGACCTCTCTCCAGAAGAAAAGGTTCGAGTGTTCCAGGACGCTGCAGAGATCATGATTCGAGATTTGAAGGCGGCTTCACATCTTTCAGGGTGAGACACTGCTAATGTCGCCCAAGGGCGCGCATCCCTTGTACTCTCCAGTATCCACACCACCACTTTTTTCCGTTCCCTGTTTCATACACACTCCACTCCCTTTTTGACCGCCCTTCTCCTCTGTTGTTGTTTCGAATGCGTGCCACCAAGGCGGATTCTGTCATTACTCTCCTGCTAGCTACCATCCGCTTCACCTAATACCGTTCCGGTACCTCCCGTTCCACCATCTCCTGCCGTTTATACCCTCCCTGCTCGCTGTCCCCCTCCTCCTAACCGTCCTTCATCTGCTTGGTTACAGCATCCCATGCTCACACCATTTATGACATATCTAACATGTTCTCCCATTCTCGCCCTCCCCGTCCCTCTCCCTGTTTTCCCACACATACTAGCGGCTGTGCAGGGGCGGTGTGATGGTGGAAGACAGTGCTGGTGTGCAGTATAGGGCATTCACGCTCCTTTACTCATGGGTGGCGGATCACCCGGAGTCCTCCAAGATCACTTGTACGATGGCATGCAACTCTGGGCATCCGTGCTCGTTGTGCTTGGTGGAAAAGGAGCGATTGGATGAGATGACATTTGAGTTGACTCAACAGTCTCCTGATAAGAAGCGCCAGGATGAACAGGATGACACCACTGTCCTCGGAAATGACAAGGGTCAGAAGGAATCCGCGGCAACCCAAAAGAACCAGGAAGACGCCATTGTCCTCAGAACTGTCAAGGGTCAGAAGGATGCTTACAAGGAGATGGACGACGCGAAAACCAAAAAGAAGCTAAAGGCGGTGAAGAAGAAGTCCCCTACACACTTCGTGAAGGTGCGCTTGTTCTGCGTGCTTCGTAGCGGTTCACACCTGGTTTCCCTCCATATCCACCATGTACTGTGGTGGCTAATATGCTTGAAAACCTAATCCAATCTGCGGCTTGCTGTTCGTATTTATTACCCTGACCCGTCATAGTGACTCTGTGTCCTTGACCCCCAATGCAGAGCCTTTTGTGGGACTGGGAATTTGCAAAAACTCTCTGGGGCAACACGTACCTCGCTGTCCCCCCGGACATCATGCACATCTGGGAGCAGGGCATATGGCTGCATGCCATGAAGTGCCTTGTGAAGAAGCTGACTCCACAGGAACGGAAGATTCTTCTGGAGTGCTTGCTTCCCCCTCCCTGCTTCATGCTACTCCCCTCCGTGCTTGCTTCCCCCTCCCTGCTTCATGCTACTCCCCTCCGTGCTTGCTTCCCCCTCCCTGCTTCATGCTACTCCCCTCCGTGCTTGCTTCCGCCTCCCTGCTTCATGCTACTCCCCTCCGTGCTTGCTTCCCCCTCCCTGCTTCATGCTACTCCCCTCCGTGCTTGCTTCCCCCTCCCTGCTTCATGCTACTCCCCTCCGTGCTTGCTTCCCCCTCCCTGCTTCATGCTACTCCCCTCCGTGCTTGCTTCCCCCTCCCTGCTTCATGCTACTCCCCTCCGTGCTTGCTTCCCCCTCCCTGCTTCATGCTACTCCCCTCCGTGCTTGCTTCCCCCTCCCTGCTTCATGCTACTCCCCTCCGTGCTTGCTTCCCCCTCCCTGCTTCATGCTACTCCCCTCCGTGCTTGCTTTCCGCGCCCTGCTGAACTGTTTCTCACGTCTAGGCGATACAAGATCTTGAAGGAGGTCACACCAGCTTCCGTGCTCCGTCTTCCTTCGGCGTGGGCCTACTTCACATCCACTGCCTGCTTTTCAGCTTCAGAGCATCGGGCAATGATGCAGGTCCTGCCCCTCATCATCGATCTCCCAGGACGAGAAGATATCCGCACGGCCATTGTGCTTATGGTCGAGTGGTACAAGGAGTTCATCCGCGCTGAGTACCACACCGATGACTCTCTGAAACGGATGAAAGACGCCACCATCAAGTAATTACTCCGTCTTTTTGGTGGTTTCCCAAGCCATTCAATGCCACATGCACACAGTTTCCTTGTCTCAAGCGTACCTTACATGCTCCACCCACCCTCTTTCATAGCCTTGCCTTCTCTGTTCATTTGTTGCCAGCCTTACCATATTTCTCCCAACTCACCATGTCCTCCTCTTTCCCTTCTCTTCATCCAGTCACAATGCACATTACATCCCATTTGTACAATACCGAGCTTGTTGCTCAGCTCCATACCAGCTTCACCTTCATACTCGCCTGTTTCTCCATCCCGTGCAAAAATCTCCCAGGCTCCATAGTACGAGTACTCCATGACCTTTGGCTGCACTCCTTCCATCAAGGTTTTGCATGACACATCTTCTCCCTCTGAACTGCATCGCTGTCATTCCATAACCCACCTTCCTGATCCCTCCTTCCGTGTTTCTCTTTTCGCGACTGCTTCCTTACTCCCCCTCCCGCATCCCGTTTCTCCCTTCCCGGCCTGCTTTCCCCCCCCTTAACTGCATGCGCTGTATCTAAATTTTATTCCCAGGATGGTGAAGGCTCTTCGTGTCGCTTTCCCAAAGCAGAAGTCAAAGTGGAAACTTGTTAAGATTCATCTCCTCGTTCACCTCCCATCAACCATACGTCTTCGGGGGATCCCTGCCGAGTACTCGTCGAACTGCTACGAGCACTCCCACAAGACCACTGTGAAGCGTCCTTCACGTGGCACCAACTGGAAGAATGTTGAAGATCGAATTGTCCGGAAACACCTGGAGCATGCGGTAGTTAGACAACTAGCGCGGGAGGCCGGCGGGAACAGCACGTACGAGACCTCGATGAAAGAGGTGAGCTTTACAAATCTGCTCATGCTCTCTCCCCCAGCTCTGTTTCCTTGCTCGGTTCTCATGCTCTCCCCCCCTGCTCTGTTTCCTTGCTCGGTTCTCATGCTCTCTCCCCCTGCTCTGTTTCCTTGCTCGGTTCTCTTGCTCTTTCCCTCTGCTCTGTTTCCCTGCTCCCTTCTGTTGCTCTCTGCACCTGCTCTGTTTTGTGGTTTCCCAATTCTCTTGCTCTCTCCCCTGCTCTGTTTCGCTGCTAGTTTCTCATGCTCTCTCCCCCTGCTCTGTTTCCACTGCTCGGTTCTCATGCTATCCCCCCCCTGCTATGTTTCCCTGCACGGTTCTCATGCTCTCCCCCCCTGCTCTGCTTCACTGCTCAATTCTCTTTCTCTCTCCCCGTTCTCTGCTTCCCTGCTTGTTTCTCATGCTCTCTCGCCTTCTCTGTTTCCCTGCTCGGTTCTCATGCTCTCTCCCCCTGCTCTGTTTCCATGCTCGGTTCTCATGCTCTCTCCCACTGCTCTGTTCCCAATGGTCATTTCCCCTTCTTTGTGTTCTGCTCTGTCACCCTGCCATGTTCCATGATGTGTCGCCCCTACTCAACGCCCTGTTCTGTTTCCCAGCCCTGTTCCCTGCACTGTTTCCATGCCATGTTCCATTCTGTGTCTGCCCTCCTCTGTGCCCTGCGCTGTTCCCTTCACTGGTTCTCTGCTTTGTTCCATTCTGTGTCTGCCCTCCTCTGTGCCCTGCGCTGTTACCTTCACTGGTTCTCTGCTTTGTTCCATTCTGTGTCTGCCCTCCTCTGTGCCCTGCGCTGTTACCTTCACTGGTTCTCTGCTTTGTTCCATTCTGTGTCTGCCCTCCTCTGTGCCCTGCGCTGTTACCTTCACTGGTTCTCTGCTTTGTTGCATTCTGTGTCTGCCCTCCTCGATGCCCTGCGCTGTTCCCTTCACTGGTTCTCTGCTTTGTTCCATTCTGTGTCTGCTCTCCTCTGTGCCCTGCGCTGTTCCATTCACTGGTTCTATGCTTTGTTCCATTCTGTGTCTGCCATCCTCGATGCCCTGCGCTGTTTCCTTTCACTGGTTCTCTGCTTTGTTCCATTCTGTGTCTGCCCTCCTCTGTGCCCTGCGCTGTTACCTTCACTGGTTCTCTGCTTTGTTCCATTCTGTGTCTGCCCTCCTCGATGCCCTGCGCTGTTCCCTTCACTGGTTCTCTGCCTTGTTCCATTCTGTGTCTCCCCTCCTCTGTGCCCTACGCTGTTCCCTTCACTGGTTCTCTGCTTGTTCCCTTCTGTGTCTGCCCTGCTCTGTGTCATGTTCTGTAAGCCATTCTCTTTGCCCCAATGTCTGGTTCCCTGCTCTCTGCATGAGTTGGCAATCACATTTAGGACCAACGCTAACCGAAGTAATCGATTCCTACCCCCCCATCCCCTTCTTCGTCCCCACAACCTCTGACCCTTTCCCCCACACCCATTCCCCCTCTCCCTGGCCCGCTCCTTCGCCTAAAACCCCGCCTCCATCCGCTGTCCCCTGCCCCTCCTCCTCCCTCCAGAAGCACTCACCATTCAACCCTCCCCCTCCCTATACCATCCCTCTCCTCTCCACGGTGACAGGCATGCCTGAAGGGCCGGAGGGTGCTTACGAAGACCCACAAGAAGATGGTCCTGGGGGACATCACCGACTCAGTGTTTCGGAGCTACGTCTTGACTGTTGGCGAACCCGCCATGAGTGCGATGGTTGTGTGCCTCAAACGGGCAGGCATCAACACGCAAGTCTTGCAGGTGCATTCCTGGTCATGGCAGGCCCGCTTCCCCCTCTCCTGCATGCTTTCCACCCACGCCAGCCCCGCTTCCCCCTCTCCTGCATGCTTTCCACCCACGCCAGCCCTGCTTCCCCCTCTCCTGCATGCTTTCCACCCACGGCAGCCCCGCTTTCCCCTCTCCTGCATGCTTTCCACCCACGCCAGCCCCGCTTCCCCCTCTCCAAAATGCTTTCCACCCACTCCAGCCCCGCTTCCCCCTCTTCTGCATGCTTTCCACCCACGCCAGCCCCGCTTCCCCCTCTCCTGCGTGCTTTCCACCCACTCCAGCCCCGCTTCCCCCTCTCCTGCATGCTTTCCACCCACTCCAGCCCCGCTTCCCCCTCTCATGCTGCTTTCCACCCACGCCAGCCCCGCTTCCCCCTCTCCTGCATGCTTTCTTCCCACGCCAGCCCCGCTTCCCCCTCTCCTGCATGCTTTCCACCCACGGCAGCCCCGCTTCCCCCTCTCGTGCTGCTTTCCACCCACGCCAGCCCCGCTTCCCCCTCTCCTGCATGCTTTCCACCCACGCCAGCCCCGCTTCCCCCTCTCCAAAATGCTTTCCACCCACTCCAGCCCCGCTTCCCCCTCTCCTGCATGCTTTCCACCCACTCCAGCCCCGCTTCCCCCTCTCCTGCATGCTTTCCACCCACTCCAGCCCCGCTTCCCCCTCTCCTGCATGCTTTCCACCCACTCCAGCCTCGCTTCCCCCTCTCCTGCATGCTTTCCACCCACTCCAGCCCCGCTTCCCCCTCTCCTGCATGCTTTCCACCCACGGCAGCCCCGCTTCCCCCTCTCCTGCATGCTTTCCACCCACGCCAGCCCCGCTTCCCCCTCTCCTAAATGCTTTCCACCCACTCCAGCCCCGCTTCCCCCTCTCCTGCATGCTTTCCACCCACTCCAGCCCCGCTTCCCCCTCTCCTGCATGCTTTCCACCCACGCCAGCCCCGCTTTCCCCTCTCCAAAATGCTTTTCCACCCCCTCCAGCCCTTAGCCAATTCCCCCCTTTCGGTGTGCTCTCCATCGCCTCCTTCGCACCCAAAACCCATTTTCTTGGTTCATGCTCGTGGTTTCAGGTGCACACGGCTCTTGCGATTCCGCCCCACGACAAGATGGAGTGGACGTCAAGAGGGCAGTTTGTCAAGGCTAGCCCGGGCGAGAAGAACTTCTCCTCTGTTGCAATCAACCCTGCAGGGAAGGGATCCCCCTGGTACGGCCGTTGTCTTGTCCTGTTTCACTACAGCAGAGATGGTGAGCTGAGGCGCGGAGCATACGTGGAGTATTACACCGAGGACAAGCGACTATGCCCGTCAACAGGATGCAAGCGCCTTCTACCCACAGAGGGCGAGGATAATTTTGCAGTGATTGATGTCGACTGCATTCTCAGTCTCGTGCACATCGTTCCCTCGTGTGAGGACGATGAAGTGAGCCTTCTTAATAGGTTCGTTTGGTGAGGACTAGCAAACGTAGAAAACTTTAACGCGTTGTGACTTTGGTAAACATCAAATTGACCCCCGACTACAGATTTTCTAGGTCTTGTTAGAATCTTATAGATGTGAAATTTCCCTCAACTTGTTAAACAAGACTCTTGGAAACACTAGTTACGTAGGGAATTACATCATTTTTGGAAACATGCAAGTGTAACAAATACACAAAAGTCTAAACGAGGAATTCTAGGAGAGAACAAATTTCCCGCAATCTGCTCCCACACGAAGAGACTTGCTCGACTATCTGTTAGCCCCGGAACCCTAATGCTGCGCACAGGCAAGAAACAGTTAGGAGCAAACATTCAGAATGTGCCTGGAAAACATCTCGCCGAAGACAAACGTTTTTTAGACTTTCCCCGTACGTTTTTCAAATGATCGTCAAACGTACGATCGGCCGTCGGAATGTCAGATGATTTTCAGACACACTCATTTTTGTGATGCGCTCTCCTTTCACAGCTATCAACTCTCTCCCCTTCTCCACCACAGCAGCAGTCGCCACACTCCTCTCTTCCACAGCACCCAGTGCACGCCTCAACTCATTTTCCAAATCCCGGTTCCTCTCATCCAGCATCGCCACTCGCTCCTTCTGTCGAGCCACCTCCTCCCTGACCACTACCAGCTCCCCCCTCAATGCTGCCAACTCCTCTCTCACTAACCCCAACAGTCCACTTACTGCCTCACTCATCACACTTGCCTCCCCCTCCTCGACAACCATTGCAGCTAAATGTCAGCCTCCTCCCGCCCTCTGCGAAATGCCCAACGCTGATGGCACTCTGGCGTGTCAAATTCGGTTGAAGGTGAATGCATGGAGGTACACAAACAGTGACACACACATGAAAAAAAAAAGGAGAGGGGGTGCAGGCCACACAAAACGAGCTTAAGCGGGTAGCGTCAAGCCCGGTTCCACTCGCCAATTGTTCACGCATAGAGCACATCACATGGTGAGCAGAGAATTTATGGAATGAGACAGTCAAAGTGGTCGGGAGGGCCATTGGTGGTAAGGAGAGTGGATGGGATTGTAATGGGGTGACCGACCGGGAGGGAGGGTCTGAACTAGCTACTGTTCAGATATTGTAACAGCACCATCTCGCTCGTTGTTGGTCAGGTCAGAGGCCAGGCGAGCCAGAAGTAGGTCACTCGCAGAATTAGGACCTCACAAGCAAGGGAAGTCACAAGCTAGGTCAAACACAGGCTACGTCAGTTACAACCCTGGTCACTCACATGCTCGGTCGGTCACAACCCTGGTCACGGACAGGCTAGCGCAAGGCTAGGTCAGTCAAGATTGAAGTCAGCTGAGGTTACGTTACTCATCGGGATATTCACGTTACAAGCCAGATCCATGCCAGCTCCCTAACAAGTAAGGTCAGTCAGAGCCAATGCTAAGTCGCACTTAACAGCAAGAAGGTGGAGTAGGCGCTGTCACAAAATAGGTAGGTCAGTCAAAGGAGGTTTGAGAAAATTCAGTACAGCATTAGAAACAGCAGCCGTTTTGACTGGCTACAATAAGCTAATACTACTTAATCAATCACACCATATGCTATGTATGTCACGTCTCATACAAGCAAGTACATTGTTGGCCGGGTCACAAATAGGCTACGTGAGTGAGGCAAGGACAACCACAGGCTAGGACAACCACAGGCTAGGACAAGCACAGGCTAGGTCACTCACAGGCTAGTACACCCGTTGTAACAATGCACATGCACATCTAATGAAACAATGCATGCGCTGTAAAGTTGCTCATTCAGCACTCACCTCCCATGCTTCTTTTGTATCGCCTTCACTCTGGCTGATTTCAAGATCAACGCGCAACTTCATGACAGCAACCTTCTGCTCAGCCAGCTCACCCTTCACCGCATTCAGCTCCCTCTCCCTCTCCTCCACCTTCTCTCTCAGCTCTCTCATCTCCGCCGCTTGTCGTTGCTCAGCTTCCTCCACCTCCCTCGTCTCTTCCACCTGCACGCGAAGAGCTCTTATCATCTCCATCGCCTCTTTCCACTCCTGTGACCCTGCCATTCTTCCCAAGACAGATGAAGCAGCCACTCCCACGCTCTGCATCCCATAAACAGCAGAATGGCAGTAATCAAAGTGACAGCTCATTGTGAATGCAAGGCGGAGTGATGGAGGGGAAGCAGGAGTGAGCCTGGCTGCGCGGGAGGAGAAGCGGAATGAAAGTGCGTCAAAGAGGACGCGGGTAACGAGGGCAGACGGGGCGGGGAAGGAGAAGAGGCAACAAGGACAGGTGACAAGGCGAGGGGTGTAAATTCTAAATGGAAAATGATGACATTGAGAGGAGGAAGCATGAACGAACGGGCGGTAGAAAAGGGCAAGGACTGGGAGAGTGAGATGCAAGAGAAATCTGGTGAGTTGGTGTATCAAGAAATGCATGCAGCTGCAGCAGCACCAGGTGAAGCACGCAGAAGGAAAAGTGAAACTGTTGAATGGCAGAGAAACGCAGAGAGAAAAAGCCATGAGGGCATAGGTGCCTCGGTAGATGAGTGGCGGGCTGACGCGGACCGGCTGGGTGGCACGGACCGGCTGGGTGGCACGGACCGGCTGGGTGGCACGGACCGGCTGGGTGGCTTGGACTGGCTAGAGCGCTTAAAACAGAAAGCCCAATCTGGTGGCAGATGAAGTAATGGACAGGCCAAGTATGTGGAATACATGGATGAGGCATACGGTGAGTGGGAATAAAGTGGAAGAGAAAGACAACAGGATGCATGGTACTGAAGCAGCAGCAAGGGAAGGACGCACAGAAAATACATAGATATTCTGAAGGTCAAGGAAGGCAGGGTTACACGACCTACCCACCTCACGAACTACCCACTTCACACGACCTACCCACCACACAAACTACAACCTTACGAACTTCCCACCTCACGACCTACTCACCTCAAGAGCCAATGACTGGCGAAGCGGCTGAAGCGAGAGGCACGATTTGGTGGTGGTAGCAGGGGACGGGCTGCTGAGGAGGTGGTGCGCGTGGTTGGAAGAAGGCACGGGGTTGAGGTGCATAAAGCATGGCAGAGGGAGGAAAGGAGACGGTGAATTCTAACAATGGGCTGAAGTATCTGGCTGGCCAAAAAAGAGAGGAGGGGAAAGAATGATAAACCAACGCTATTATGGTGACAGTCGAAGAATTTGATGATATACTACAAAATATCAATACAAGGAGCAGAGGCAAGTTAAATAGGAGCAAATTCCGGAAGTTGATTAGAACATGAACCGATCTGATTATGAACCGGTAAAGGCAAGCTGAACTGAAAAAGGATAAGATAATTAGAAACATGCAAAGTGAGCAGCAGAAGGGGAGGAGCACGACATGCAAAGTGAGCAGCAGAAAGAAGGAGCACGACATGCAAAGTGAGTAGCAGAAGGGGAGGAGCACGACATGCAAAGTGAGGCAGGGAGTCCACCGGGGAAGGAGGAGGACACATAGAAAAAACCAGACAGGGAGCACTGCGGGGAAAGAGGTGCTGCGATGGGGCAGCACTGACATCAAGCATGCGGTAAGCGAGGTAGAAAACACGGGCGCGAGAGAGGTGCAGCGCCCGTGTCTTTTACTTCGCTTACCGTGTGTGGAGAAGAAGACGGGCGTGCGTACCCGGTGTGTGGAGGTGGCAGATGAAGCAGATGGCGACAGAGGGGTGCCCGTTGGGAGCCAGACGCTTCACTTCTCAGCAGACAGATTTACGAATTTTGCAGCTGAGGGGCGAACTCCGCAGCTGAAGACGCGAGGGGGATAACGGATCTGAGGAGCAACGCCACACGACGAAATGAAATGGAGAGAAACTTTGCTGAAAAGAGGACTTGGCAAGTTCGCAGGATGAAGTGGATCAACAATCGTCGCTGGCTGACTTGAGTTCAAAGGAAAGACCGCGAGCAAAGACGCAGGGGGGACCAGGATGAACAACAGAGGAGAAAAGGGGGGTATGCCAGGCAAGGTTGAAAGGGGATGAGCAGGACACACGGGAAGTTTGATAATGGACGTGGGAAAGGTGAGGCAGTAAACGGATCCAGGGGTTGCGTTCAGGGGGAGCGGATCCAATAAGAGAGGATCCAAAGGGAGCGGATCCAGGGGGAACGGATCAGGGGGAACGGATCAGCGGAAACGGATCAGGGGGAACGAATTCAGGGGGAACGGATCAGGGGGAACGGATCAGGGGGAACGGATCAGGGGGAACGGATCAGGGGGAACGGATCATGGGAAGCAAATCAGGGGAAACGGGTCCAGGAGAAACGGATCCAGGGAGAACGGCAAGAAACGGTGCAGTGGAGTTGTGTGTGGCGGTGGTGCACCAAATGGCAGAAACAAGCTGCCAACCTGAAACAAGGCACTCCTTAGCCAAAAGAGTGGCAGCGGTGACGAGCAGGGCGGAAAAGGAGAGCGGGTGAGGAGGATTGACGCCGCAGTAAGTGGAGAGCAACTCAGAATGGAACAACTTTGGATCCGGAGGTAGGGAAAACAGTTCAGACAGAACTCGGGAGTGGATAACCAGAGTTGCGGGTTTGACTCGGGTGCGAGAGGAGGCAGAGGTAAGGGTACACGAGAGAGGACAGGAGGGAGGCATCATGCATGCTACGGGCTGAGTTCGCCTTGCAATCTCATCCGTCCAATTATGTCACTGTTTGCATCCCGCATCTCCCGAAACCAGCCCTTAGCCCGTCCCGGGCCGTGAGGCAGAGCTGTTCCGCCGAACCATCATCTCGTGTGAGGAGAGCAACGCACTGCACCGCATGCCAGGCTGCATTTCACCCCCGTCGCCGCAGCCACGTGGGCAACGCATGCATGGGATCGACCGCGAACGCGATTCGACGCATTGGGGTCATACTCTAGCCCGCCTTCAGCTCGTTCACCCTGTCGATCACAGTGCCTTGAACATGGATATTGGATCTGGCACTGGAAACTGAACGGAAATTTTAATCCTTGGATCTAAACGTGGCTTCATCGCGTTGTACAGACGAGGCGCGTTTGCGCACGAAAGGCTAATGTCTTTTCGATTCTGGTCGCACTCGATGCACTGACACGTGGCGACACAGGTTATTGGATGTGGATGGGGAGACCCGTGCATGATGGCGCGGATCTAGCTGTTGGCGAAAGGAAGGTAGCAGTCAGCGCTAGTTATAAGTTGCGGCGAGTAGCGGGGAGGATTGTGTGGAGGAAATTGGTGAGGTGGGCAAATGTGAAACGCCCGTCATGTCAAGTTCAAATTAGGTTATTGGATGTGGAGGGTTACCATCCGGGTTGCAAAACAGCACCGATCTTTCTCGCGAAACATTCGCAAGTCACTATCTCGATCTCAGCTCACCCAAACATGTGCTTTGAGCGGGTATGACACCACTGCGAGCGCTCCTCCCTCGCCGGTTACAGATTGCGATTGTAATTCCACTCCCAAAGCGCTTTTCGCTCACGTGACGACTTTTGTACGTACACAGATCGTTGAATGATGCGATTTCTGGTTACCCAGCATGACAAATTTGAAACGCAGAACGAGTCACACGAAAAGAAATTATCCATCACCGTGCTGGAAGCGAATCGCCTGCTGCCTAGAAGCCTAGACATTTGCTCGGCGTTACGACTCATCAATCTCGCATATTCAGAATTCGACCAGCGTAGCAATTAGAAGCAGACACTCGGCTAGTATTCCTCCGCTCCCTCGTGCATTATCTGCTCGTTCAAAAGCATTT